AGATTTAACAAAGCCATGGGACTTGGGTCACTGTAAAAAGAAAGCTCTGCTAGCACCAAGCCAACACTGAGAGAGGCAGGATTCTGTGGTGTCAGGAGAGCCTGGGGACAGCAGGCTCTCTAGGAAGGGCACTTGCTGCTCCCTCAGTGGTTCAGGCATAAGCAGACTGTTATGGTGCCTTTGTCATCCTCATTCTGGGGCTGGAGGCAAGGATTTCAAGATAAGTTTAGGAATAAAGAGTATATTTGTGTAATAGCCCAAGGCTGTAAGCCGTCTAGTTTATTTCGTCTCTGCCTCCATCCATCCTCAGGCATTGTCACTAAATTTTGGACATCCCATAATTTCCCCCGTTCTGGCTTCAGCTGATATGTCTACCCAATCTCTTTCATGGTAAGATCTGCTGCCATGTCTCATCCCTCCTTGTAATTAAATTATGGCAGAAACTAGGTCAATTGTCTTGTAAACGTCCCTTAGCCAGTGCCCGCCTGGGTTTTCTAAAGTAAACATAATTTTAGGCAGTTTATATTCATAATAAAATTGAGAGAATAGTGCAAGAAATTTCCACATATGCAATTTAATTTCCCTATTAATATCTTAATTTAGTATGGTATAGTTCTTAAAATAATGAGCCAGTTTTAAAGCATTAATATTAACGAAAGTTTTATTCAGCTTCTCTTGGCTGTTTCCTAATGTCCTCATCTTTGCTCAGATTTTGGGTGAGGCACATCTTTTGAGGCTCTCCTTTATTCCATAGGCACCTGTGGAAATTTCCATTTCTATTTTGATTGCTATAGATTGAATATTTATGCCCTCGGCATCTGTCCTTCAGTCCACATGCTGAGATTCCAACCCTGCATTGATATTTGGGGATGGGGCTTTTGGGAGAGGACTATACCATAATAATGGAGACTTCATGAATAACATTAGTGACCTTGCAGGAGTCGTAGAGAGCTCTCCAGAACCTTCTGAGATTTCAGCTACAAGGTGGCCTATGAATCAAGAACTGGGACCTCAGCAAACACCAAGTGTGTCAGCCCCTTCATCTTAGACTTCCAAGTCTCCAGAACTTGGAAGAACTCCAGTGAAACAAACTTTAGCTTTCTGAACGTCCTCCAGTCTAAGGCATTTTGTTCCAGTAACTCCAAACAACTAAGATAATGGCTGGACAGTTTTAAGGTTTACTTGCCAACCGACTGATGATGTCCCTCTGCTGAGGGTGGCTTGCTGCTTTTCTCACAGTTTAGACCAGAGTTCTCTCCTTTGGGTAGGGAGGTCTCAGGCAAAAGAACCATTTTCATCACATCTTATCAATTACCCTCTGTCAGTGTGACACCAATGCTAGATGCTTACCTTGACATCATATCTAGTCCCCTCTGTCAGTGTGACACCAATGCCAGATGCTTACCTTGACATCATATCTAGTCCCCTCTGTCAGTGTGACACCAATGCCAGATGCTTACCTTGATTGTCCCCCTAAAGTAGTGCTTGCCAATTTCTCCACAAAGCTACAAAGTTGGACTGTGGTTTTCTTCTTTGTAATACTGTTTCCTCTTCCGAAGGAAGTCGCTATTGAGTTATGCTCTGCTGGAGGACAAAATAGCTGCGGAAATGATCACTAATTCTTCCATGTGGAGGACTCTGCCTACACACAGCAAGCAATTCATCCCACATGTGTCTGCATTCCATTTCAGTACAGGTATAAGGATATTTATGTTCTACTTTGCATTATAAACAAATAAACAAATAATAAACCAAAAGTAAAATCATTTTATTCTATTCAAACTGTTTCTGTTTTGAAAACTCAGCAGTGGGCTGTGACTTTCTGTCTCAGATCTAACAACAGTGCAGGGGTTCTCTTGGCATTTGTGGGCTTCTTTTTCTTTTTAGGAGAAGTACAGGTGGGGTTGGGCTTCCTTCCTTACATCACAAGATGGTCGATGTTCACTATATGCTCACTGGGAATCTTCTCTGGCCCTTCAGTGGAAGTTTTCTCAGGAGCTTTGGCTTTCGTTGGGATGTGATGTTATAAGCAAGTTCTGGGCCCTAACTGAGTTGTTATCATCAGGAGTCATTGGCCCTGTGGTCCTCTCAATTGGCAGAGCAACAACAAGAACAAAAAAAGTAAGGAGTTTATTAATTCTAGTTTGTAGGCATTGTTAGTATTCTGTCTAAACACCTCCACAGTTACCTGGCAACAGGCAGGTAGGCCTGCCCACTATAAAAGGGGCTGCTTGGCCCCTCCTCTCTCTCTTGCTCCCTTGCTCCTGTGCCTGCAGATTCTCCTCTGACCCCTTCCCCCCTCCCTTCCCCCCTCTCACGTGGTCATGGCCGGCCCCTACTCCTCTACCTCTCTACTGTCTCTCGCTCTCTTCCCTCTGCCCTGAATAAACCTCCCTTCATGGAACCATTTGGTCTGGCGTTATCTGTCTAAGCTACGAGTGAAAATCTAACAGGCATTCCTACAGATGCTTCTATATGTAGATTTCTGTAGGTCTATATAGGCCAAACATGAACTCATAAACTCATATTAAGCTTTAACCTGTTAGTATAGAAAGTATAATAATTACATTCTCTTCATTTGGAGGTGGCCCTTTGTAGTTATTGTAGATTGGACCAAGATTCACAGCTTATTTTATGAGTAGTAATAATCATAGACATGCTGTATACAGTAATTTTTGAACACCATAATTCTTAACACTGTGTTTGCATGAGGCTCTGGGTTAACTCTGTACAATATTGTAGCCCTAAGATAAGCCTGCTTTCTTTTTAAATAAAGGGGGAAATGTGTAATTTGTTTTCTAAAATAGAAAAAAATCATTTGGGCTCCCAAACATCTTCCAAAGACAGCCATGGAGTTGGTTTCTGTCTCTGTGAACCATTATCAGAATGGAACAGATCTGGGCATATGGCTCAGTCTGCCTCCAGCCCTGACTCCTAGAACCTGCTTCTGTGTGGCAGGGTAGAGGATGAGAATGCAAGAGAGGGACAGACACAAAGAGCTGTTTGAAAGACATGGTATCCTAGCTTGATTTTCTGTTGCTGTGACAAAACACCCTTATCAAAAACAACTGGATGACATGGAAGGCTATGTGTGAGTTATTCTTCCACAGGTCACAATCCCCTGAGAGAAGTCAGGGCAGGAACTCAAGAAGAAACCATGGAGGTGACAATGTTGGTTCTTGGCCTTGGTGGCTTTTCAGATGGTATGTGTTTAAAAGCCAGGTTGGGAAGATGCCCTAGTCTATACAGTCTCTGCCTTGCAAGCGTGAAGGGCTGAATCTGGATTCCCTAGCACCCCACAAAAGTCCAGAGCAGCGGACATGCCTGCAACTGTAGCTCTGGTACGGGAGAGTGGAGACAGGTGGATCCCCAGAGTTTACTGACCTGCCATTCTAGACCATCAGTGATCTCAGTGTTCAGTATTAGATACTTTCTCAAAAAATAAGGGAGGCTGCAGTAGAGGAAGACACCCTGAGACACTCAGAATTTACCTCCGGCCTCCGTGCACATGTGAACATGTACCTGCATGTCTTATGAACACACATAAATTTGTACACATATCACACTACACACATCCACAAAACAAAAACAAAGAACCACCATGTCCTCTTACTATCCCCAGAAATTTTTCTTGAAGTTGGCCTGGGATGGGGCTCTAGAATTGGAAGGTATCATAAGGGTTTTATAAGTTTTTTTTTTTTCAAATTGATGCTAATGTTTGACCAGGATGATTTGCTAGTCTACTGAATCTTAGCTAAGCGATTTTATCACACCTATAGCCTCACCATGATGGGACTGTCTCAGTCAGCGGCATCTCTGCCATGCTACTCAGAACTGAGGAAAGACATCCACAGGCTTTTCCCGATGTTGCTCTTATTCTTAGGATGCTGGCCTCAATCTTTGACATAAGACACAGCATCGAACCTCCACCCTCTAATCCAAGAATGGCTGCATTTACTGTGTGTCTGGCTCTGTGGAGAATTTTACCCCCATCCTAGGCTGATTCCACCTCCACTAACAGTTCTGTAACTGGGAACCTGAGAGGGTTGAGTGGCTTCTACTAAAGTCACAAGTCTGTGTCTGGTTAAGGTCTTAGCTCTACAGCAAACTGCCGAGTCCAGGCTGTGACTTGACATTAGACCTTCTTCAGGAGTCACCTCTTCCCTTCCTTAAATACAGACAGGTTCTTGATATATGGACTCAACTTCAGATGAGGCAGCCCAGCTGAAATGAAGGATTCTGAATCCCAGGTTCTCAGCTTAGGCATTAAGTGTCCTCCACCTCTTTCTCATTATTCTTCAGAATTTAAAGTTCTGAGAGTATTTTAATTTATTCCCAGTGTGGTGACGGGATGGGGGTGCCTTGTCTGACTCCTCCCCACTCTCTTTTCTGTGCTTTAGTAACATCTTCAGCCAGCCACCCCTCCCCAACCTTGTTGTGTGACCTGTGACATTTCCATATGCCATTTTCCATGTACCAAGCTCCACACCACTACCCAGAGTCCACAGCCAATGCTTGTTGTAACCACACCCATTTGCTACTCTTCTTCCCTTCCCCCAAAAGTGTTAGCTCTGTCCTGGCGCTGGCCCCTGCGCCCCCTTGTATTCAGTCAGTCCCCATATTTCCACCACTCAAGACTTGTTACCGCCTCTCCTTTCCCCCATTACCCTAGGATAAACATAAGCTCTGAAGCCAGACTACCTTCCTCCCATCCCTAGGCTTTTTGCTATGGATGGAGCAACCCAGAACAGTTTCCTAAATATTGCGTTTGTCCTTTGCACTGCCCGGACTCCTGAGTAAATAAATTCTGCTCAGGCTCCAAAACACTTCCTAACCTTCCGGCCTGAGGCTGTCACTACCTCACCTGGCCTTCAGCCCCTCCCTAGCCTAAGGGCCAATCTAGCGAATCTTCCAGGCGCCTGAGGGATCCATCCTGATTGGCTGATGCTGAGTCTCGCGAAGCTCCGCCCCGAGGCACTGACTTCTGCAGGAACCCGGAAGTGCGAGCCTCGAGATGGAGGGGAATCGGAAAGTGGAGCTCAGCGAAGCCCTGGCGCTCGGGCCGGGCTGGCGTCATGCCTGCCATGCGCTGCTCTATGCACCCGACCCCCGCAAGCTGTTCGGCCGCATCCCGTTGCGCTTCGCCGTGCTGGTGAGGACTCGGCGTGCACGGCCGCTCCCCGTACCGGGGCTCGCGTGCCCTGGCCAACCATCATACCCTCCTCCCCCAGATGCAGATGCGCTTCGACGGGCGCCTGGGCTTCCCTGGCGGCTTCGTGGACGCTCAGGACAGCTGCCTGGAGGACGGGCTGAACCGTGAACTGCTCGAGGAGCTGGGCGAAGCGACGTCTGCTTTCCGCGTGGAACGCTCTGACTACCGCAGCTCACACATCGCGGCCAGACGGCGTGTGGTGGCCCACTTCTATGCCAAGCGCCTGACACTGGAACAGCTGCAGGCTGTGGAAGCCAGGGCACCTCAAGCCAAGGACCACGGGCTGGAGGTGGGACCAGCCTGGGACCCACTCCATCTCTGTCCTCTCCCCAACCCCAGTGTCCCTTACCAAGAAAAGCCACTGGGTGGAGGAGATTTTGACCCTTTGACTTTGAATTCTTTCAAGTGGCATGAACTAGTTGAGATTTTTGGTCATCTCCACTCAGTCACCTTTACTGGCCTCAGAAGAGAGCTTTCTAGAACACACATCCAAGGGTCTCTGCTTTCTATGCTAATGTGCATGATACCCTAAGCTCTTGATTTTGAGCTCATATTTCCCTTAAGCAGAAAGTCTGACAGTGAGGTCTAATGCTAGGGAGACCTGTGTGTACAGGTGACTCAGCCTAGGGGTGAGGATGGTATTAAAACTGATTAGTGTGCCCACTTTGGCAGTGTGGCGACTCAACAGCCATCGGAATCAGTTGAGTTGGGTAAGGATGTCGGAGGAATACTTGGGTATTTGCATTTTTCTTGAGCACCCAAGTGATACCTATACAGTGGTGAAAGGTCTGTGTTTTGAAATACTGCTACAGCCATGAGTACCTCCTGGGGGCAGTAGCCAGTGAAGGTGAGGAAAAGGGTGGAGAAGAATTAACCTGGATGGAGCTTGATACCCAGCATGGGTCATTTGTCCACAGAGTTTGGCTCTCTAAGCCCCCCTGAGGTGTGATTATTGGGCCGTTGTCAGGAGAGTTCTGTTTCAAGGTAGATGAGGTAATATGTTGAGATACTCGAAGTCCCACTTGTCCCCTGTCTGCTTTTCATAGGTGCTTGGCCTGGTGCGGGTACCCCTGTACATCCTACGTGATGGTGAGGGAGGCCTGCCTGCCTTTCTGGAGAATTCCTTCATTGGTGCTGCCCGGGAGCAGCTACTAGAAGCCCTTCAGGTCTTGGAACTTCTGGATCCTGGCACTATTGCAAACCTCAAGATCCCAGATTGTAGGTAGAATCGGACTAGTATGGACCCCTGGAACCCAAGTTGAGGGCCTTGGTATGAGGGAGGGAGAGAAACAGGGAGGGAGGGGCACATGTTTTGTCTTTGGGGTCTGAGGGGTTGTAGATGATACCAGAGTAACAACAGAGGTGGAGATGCAACATTTTCAATGGAGGACCTTGTCTGGTGGCATTAGGGATGACAGGCCTTTGTAGTATCTCAGAGTCCTACCTTATAATGGACAAACAGCCTGGAAGAGGTATGGATATGTGTAGTCTGTGGTCACACACAGCCTGGCACACTGTCATCTGTCCAGCTTAACTGTGATGTGGCATTTGATACATCCTACTCCTTCCTGGTAAATGCGAGGGTTTCTTCCTCTTCTGTTGCAAGGCTGCTGTCCAGTGTCCAGCCCAGCCCATGCTTATTAGGAAAGCAAAGGAGGCAGCTTCTGAGAATGGCCCCATGTTGCCTGAGGCTTGAGCAAAGCAGTAGGTTTCAGCAAATAGGGTAAGGGCCTACCCAGCCCTGCATGCCAACTGAGGGTTGGAATGTGTCAAGGGCTTCTTGGGCTGAACTGAGACCTGAGACCTCACTCCTGATGCCTGTCTTGCAGCCTGTTCATCTTTGAGCTCCCTTTGTCTCTGTCTAGCCTGCCCTGCCAAAAAAAAAAAAAATTTAAAAAAGAGGCATCTGGAAAAGTAGGTTGATATCTGGGCCTCCAAGTTCCCCAGCTCTTTCAAAAGGTTTAGGTTAATACTTGCTCAGTGGTAGGTATGGTGACTGAAGGAGAGATCGACTGTTCTTGTGTTTAAGACCTCACAGTAAGGAGTAGGCACACAGCATCATAAATGGCACTGCCCAATAAAAACTATAAGCTTTGCCAGTCACGTGGTGTCCGTGGGAACCCTTTAACTTGGCCACGTCAAACTTACTTGCACAATATATAAATCTGTGGTGGTTGTGTCCCAATAAAAGACCAATGAAGAAGCAGCTGTCTGGCTTCTGGACTGGAGTTTATCAATGACTGCTCTGCTGGGAAAGATAGGCTAAAGTTTGTGATGCCTGTATTTGTAAGCATTCTGTTGACATTCTTTCACTTGGGTTCATCTGGAAAGGCCCTGGTTAAATGGGAAGAAGAGAAAGGAAGGGATAATCTCATAGGGATTCGGAAAGAAGTTTCTAAGGAGGCATGTGTGAAGGCTCTGAGGAGGGAAGAATCTTGTCAGAACATCCCAGGACATACTTCTTAATCAGGATCTTGGGAGGTATTTCATAGTCAAGTAACTGCTTTTTATTTTGTTTTGTTTTGTTTTGTTTTGTTTTAATTTCAAGACTGCCCTTGTGACTGATGTGGATCTTTCGAAAATTCTCAAATTCTGGGGTTGTAGCTCATGTAGCTTGGCCTAGCATTCATGAGAGCCTGAATCTAACCCCTGGCATTGCAGAAATGGCATGGTGGCAAACACTGGTGACCCCAGTGCTCAGACAGGAGGACCAGAGGCAAGATCATCCTTGGCTACATAGTTGAAGGCCAGCCTAGGATTCCTGAGAGCCTCCCTGGAAGCTCCCACCTTTCAAACAATGTAAGTCTAGATAATATTGAACTGGTAGATAGGGCTTGTCAGGAGAATTCATTGTCTTAGTAGAGAGGTTTAAAAGGCTAGGCTCAGGTGGGGACAAAGCCCTTGAATCTAGTGATCTAGTTGGATGAGGTTCCTTCATGACTCAGTACCCAGAGAAGGGTACCAAAAGATCAGGGTGGAAGCCACAGGATGACTGATCCATGCCCTGAAAATTCACCGTGTAACTTCCATGCCGTATTAGCCAATCAAGTCATTTAATACTGTATTCAATGGGTGGGGATTAGACTCCATTTCTTGCTAGTGGTGTAACGGGAGAAGTGATAAAGGGTTTGCCACCAACATGGACAAGCGCCTTTCATAGAACAGAGTAAGGCCAATATAATTAGACGTCAGTAAGCAACGGGAGGCTGTGCTCGAGAAGTGGCAGCTCTTTTGGCACAAGATCTTTACAGGCCATGGGGATGGCCCAGTGCGTATTTCAGGCAAGTCATTTCTGGCGTGGTTCAGAAATCGGAAGGACACGGAGGAACCTGCCACAATAGTTTCTATGGGAGAGGGTGGTGACCCAGAAAAGGGTTGAGTAGTGAAGGTGCATAGAGACAGACAGGGGTGGGGGTCATGGTGTTATTGAACAGAGCCTGGTTGTTGGAGAAGGGAGGTGGGGAATTCCAGGGTGACTTTTAATTTGAACTACAAGGTGTTTGTGTTGTGGATGAAGACAAAACTCAGTGGATAAGGGAACAAGATTTGAAGACACAGGGACATGAATCTGTGAGCTAGTGCAGTAGACAGCATAAACGTTCTATTTTGAGATTATCCATAGAGAAAAGTGATGAGCAGGTCAAAGACCCAAGACTTGGGAAGATGGGTAGAACATGATAAAACAGATCAAGGATCCAGGGACAGCCGCTTAACAAACCAAACAGCTCTACATGTTCCTAAGAGCTTTGGTGAGTTAGGTCAGAGAAGTCCATTGGATTTAGCTTCAGCCATTTTGTTGGCTTTGTTGGGAGCAGTGTCATGAATATGAGGGTGGAGGACAAACAAACTGGTGAACAGCAGACTGCCAAGGCAGGGTTGAGCTGTGATTCAGTTTAAAGGAGAAACCGAAGATTTCATTCCCATGGTTGATTGCTAGAGTTGGAAGCTGGGCATTCTGTGGTGGTGGTGGTGGTGGTGGGTCTGTACATCTCTCTCCTTTTCCCTCTCACCTGTGATGAAGAGTCTCTGATCACCAGTTTGATTAGACTGTGAGATGCCTATGGGATTAGTAAATATGCCTAGCTGTGGCTGTGAGATTGTCTCCTGAAAGATTATGACAGCCCTGACCTACTCAGTGGTATAATTTGTTGATGGATTCAAAATTGGAATAAATTTGGAGTTATCGGAACTACAAGAGGCATGGCCTAGTTGTGAGAAGTGGATCTTTGAAGTTGTTTTATAGCCTGGACCTGGGCTGATCTTGTTACACTTTTTTGCTTCCTGGTTGCCATGAGTCAACCACCCTTTCTCTCCTACAATGTCTCTGCCTTGCTCTAAGCTTCAACTCAATGCAGGAATGAAGTATGAAAAGATGCTTTAAGATTAACCCTTCCCCTTGTATAAGTTTCCAAATGGTGATAAAAAGCTGGCTGCCATACCAGTGTTCAGAAACTCAGATGGAGATGCTCACCACAGAGTTGGGGTCATTTCAAGAAGGAGTAAGGAGGGAGAGGTTGAAGAGGGTGACAAGTTTCAAGGCCTAAGATCTACAGACTCAGTGAGATGGATATGAAGGGTTGACTTGGGAATGATCATCAGATCCTCTGAAGGAGGGAGGAACCAGGAAGTGGATCTCAGGCAGAGAGAAGCACTTGTATTGGGGAGCTGAAGTGATCTCAGGGAAAGTTAAGGACCAATTGAGAACACAGGATGGCTGGCCAGAGGTGGGAGACAAGCTATAAAGGGACAAAGGGACAAAATCCTGGGCTGGAGAGGCAGAGAGTCAGGTGAACAGCAAAGTAGGTTATGATGCCAGAAGGGGACACATGTTAGAGAGGTGTGGAAATCAGGAGCCAGCATCCTTGGTGACTAAGATATGACCAGAGATGACAGAGGAACAGAGTAGGTGTGTCAAAACATGGTTTCCCAGGTCAGTAGCACTTAAAAGGGGGAAGTTTGATAGAGCCCTGAGGAAAGCAATTCAAGGCCATGGGGATGCCAGCAACCAGAAGTGGTGACTGTTGAAGCATAGAGATCATACTATTACAGGACTATGGCAGTCACTTTTCCTTAGGAAAATATGAACAGGCATCTTCTCATCGCTGAGTGGGCACCAACCAAGTACCAATTACACCCAAGTCTAGCTAAGCAAACCAATAGACTTATTGTGCTTACTTATAGACCATATATAAGGGGTTACTTGAGGGAGAGAAAGAGAGAGCCACATTGTGCGTTTGTATGTGCGCTCTCGTGTGTGTGTGTTTGTGTGAATACTGTAAATGTGGAATCACTTTGTAGACTAGCCTCTGGGAATCCCCATGAGGGATTATTTAGATTAGGTTCTGAAGACTCACCTTTACTGTGGATGCCATCCTTCAGTGGCCTGAATCCTGGACTGAATAAAGCAAGTTGGGTACCAGTGTTCATCTCTCTTTGCTCTCGCATTATGAGTTCAGTGTGACCAGCTGCCTCAAGTTCCTGATGCCACCATTTTCATGACAAAATGAACTGCACTCTCAAACTGTAAGCCAAAATAAATGCTCCTCTCTTAAATTTCTCCTATTACAGTATTTGATCAAACAACGAGACAAGTATCTGACCCTCCCAAATAGCTACATTGATAGTAATTTTTAAAGACATCCTACCTGGCATAAGCAATTGCCTTGCCCTCCCCCACTCCCCCATAGCTGGATAGATGGAATCTCTCTGTCAGTCAATCTTTTCTCTCCTATGTACTCTAGGACTTCCCAAGACCACATACAGTGAGGGCAGAACCTTATGCAGTTGCTATGGGTACACCAGAGGGAGCAAGTGAGTGGAATCTCGAGTGAGCATATAATGACCCTTTCTTCTCTCTCTGTTTGTGAGGGAGTATCAGTCAGGAAGCTGGAACTTGCAATTATTATTAAAACAGTGATACCTGTGTTATGCAGACAGGACATTCCATAACAAGGATTTCGTTCCTCTGTCTTCTACTGACCTGACCCTTATCTTTGGGTCTATAGTTTCTGTTTGATAGTTGGATTTTAACTGTCAACTTGACACAATCCAGAATCACCTGGGAGAAGAACTTCTGAACATGTCTGCAAGGGAATATCTGAATCAGGTTAACTGATGTTAGAAGATTTCTGTCCCTCACCCTGTGTGGGTGGTGCCAGTTCCTGGTTTTGGGTCTCGGACTGAATAACAGAAAGCTAGTTGAATACTAGCATGCATCCATCTCTCTTCTGACTGCAGATAGAGTGTGGCCAGCTGCTTCAAGGTCCTCATGCCTTGACTTCCACAGCTTGATGAACTGTAGCCTAAAACTATAAACCAAAATAACCTGTGGCTCCCTAAGTTGCTGTTATTGGGGGCACTAAGACAACTCCCTGCCTTATCTAAGAAGCATCCCTCCCCAGTTGGTGGGTTCAGCCATCACACACTGGTGGACTGGTCTGGGTTTAGTTCCCTGGCCTGGTCCTGATGGAGCCTCCCTCTCAGGAGGGAGAGAGGCAGGCTAGACTGTGCATATCTCTTCTCACCCACTCCCATCCTGTGGGATGACAACCACACAGGACTCCCTGTGTCCCTGTAAGCACAGGTCTCTGGGCATGAGGGGGTTGGGAGAAGAAGGTGGAAGCTCATCCAACCTCCAGCCCTGCTCCCAGCAGCCAGGACTTCCAGCTGAGCACTGACTTCCTTATCTCAAGCTTGGGGTTGTGAGTCCTGGGGAGAGGGTTAATAGAGGGAGCACTTGGCATTAACTTTTAAGCAGGTCAGCCAGCACTGTGTCAGCACAGGCTGCTGCTGCTCCTTCCTGGGGAGGAGAGGGAACATGACACACACACACACACACACACACACACACACACAGATGCCTCTCTCAGTAGAACTAGCAAGAAGTTTCTACTTCTCAACCTTGCAGTTTCCCTCTTCACAGAAATCAGTTTCAGACTTCATTCTGTCCTGAGCCCAAGTCCTTGTAAGTTGCCGGATTTGAGGCAAAGATGCTGTTATCTGACAGGACCATGTTGGGAAGGAGGATGCCAGTGAACTTGGGCTCTGAGGAAGGTTAGTGGGAAGGGAGTTTTATCACACAAAAAGTATTCTGTACCCCAACACACAGATGAACTAGATGATAGTAAAGATGAGAAATGGGTGAGAACATTTCACCTGTGTTAAAATGTGCAGGCGACGTTAGAGTTGGTGTCATGCAGAAGACACTC